AAGGTTCCTGATTGTGAGGACAAGGTTACTTACGCTGACGACAAGGTTCCTGTCGCTGGGGACAAGGTTCCCGACGCTGCCGACAAGGTTCCTGACAGTGAGAACAAGGATGCTGACGGTGAGGAGAAGGTTCCTGACGGTGAGGACAAGGTTCCTGACGGTGAGGACAAGGTTCCTGACGGTGAGGACAAGATTCCTGATCCTGAGGACAAGGTTCTGGATGCTGAGGACAAGGTTCCTGACGCTGGGGACAATGTTCCTGACGCTGAGGACAAGGTTCCTGACGCTGAGGACGACAAGGTTTCTGACTGTGGGACAAGGCTCCTGACGGTGAGCATAACGTTCCTGACGGTGAGGACAAGGTTCCTGACGCTGAGAACAAGGTTTCGGATGCTGAGGACAAGGTTCCTGACGGTGAGGACAAGGTTCCTGACGGTGAGAACAAGGTGCCTGACGCTGAGGACAAGGCTCCTGACGCTGAGAACAAGGTTCCTGACGCTGAGGACAAGGTTCCTGACGCAGAGGACAAGGTTCCTGACGCTAAGGACAATGTTCCTGACGCTGACTGACGCTGAGGACAAGATTCCTGATGCTGAGGACAAGGTTCCTGAGTGACAAGGTTCCTGACGGTGACAAGGTTCCTGATTGTGAGGACAAGGTTACTTACGCTGACGACAAGGTTCCTGTCGCTGGGGACAAGGTTCTACGTGACGACAAGGTTCCTGTCGCTGGGGACAAGGTTCCCGACGCTGCCGACAAGGTTCCTGACAGCGAGAACAAGGATGCTGACGGTGAGGAGAAGGTTCCTGACGCTGAGGACAAGGATCCTGAGGCTGAGGACAATGTTCCTGACTGTAAGAAAGATTCCTGATGCTGAGGACAAGGTTCCTGACTGTGAGGACAAGGTTCCTGACGCTGAGCACAAGCTTCCTGACGGTGAGGACAAGGTTCCTGACGCTGAGGACAAGGTTCCGGATGCTGAGGACAAGGTTCCTGACGCTGAGGACAAGGTTCCTGACGCTGAGGACAAGGTTCCTGACGGTGAGGACAAGGTTCCTGACGGTGAGGACAAGGTTCCTGACGGTGAGGACAAGGTTCCTGACAGTGAGGACAAGGTTCCTGACGCTGAGGACAAGGTTCCTGAGGTGAGGACAAGGTTCCTGACAAGTTCCGACGGTGAGGACAAGGTTCTGAGGTGAGGACAAGGTTCCTGACTGCAAGGTTCGACTGAGGACAAGGTTCTGAGTGACGTGAGGACAAGGTTCGACGTGAGAAGGTTCCTGACGGTAGGACAAGGTTCTGACGTAGACAAGGTTCCTACGTGAGACAAGGTTCCTACGTAAAAGTTGCGCAATACAGTGTAAAACTGCAAGGTAACTTATTAAATAATCTATCTATCTATCTATCTATCTATCTATATATCTTGTTGCACATCACGTGAGTCAACAAATCTTCTTTTGATTTTGTTGTTAATTGCATTTGAAAAATGTTCTTTAAAATATTGTTAGTATTGTTCCTTAGATTGTCGTATTTACGACATTCAAAGGCAAAGTGAAATTCGTCTTCAACTGAACCACTGTGACAGTGTTTACAAAATCTTTCTTCACGTGGTATTTGTTGGTACCGACCATATTCGATCAGTAATTTGTGATTACTGATTCGAAATTTTGTGTAAATTCGTCTTTTGGATGGTTCCGTCCTTTATTATACTTAAGTAGTCTTCTAATTTATAATTTTTCTTAAATCTGCTGTAAAATGAAAGTATTGAGGAGTTGTTAATTTGTTGTTTCCATTCTGAGACGTAGTTGTTCTGAATTATATCGATTATAACATTTATTTTTGTATCGGTTATAAATTTTTCTAGATCTACTGGTTCAATTAGATTGGGAAAGTGTTTTTTCAGGAAATTTGCAACGTTCGAGTAAAAAGCATCTTTGCCTTTCAAATATAGTTCTTTCGAGCTACGAAATGCTAGTTTTGCTATCGATGAGTCTGGTAGTTTAGATATATTAATAATATAACTTAGTGTTCTTTTAATTATGGGCAATAGCAATGGGAATTTTCCAAGTTCCCCTCGGCTTGCAACGTTGCTGGCTTTCCTATTTACTCCTAGGTAGAGTTTGTAAAATTTTAGATGGGCTTTTTCTGTCCAAGTTTTATCCCGTTTTGTAAAGTCTCCGATTGTGTATGCCCCCCATACCTCGGAGTTATATAGTAATATCGGAGAGATTACACTGTCGAAGATTTTGCAAGCTAGTTTTGGTGGTAGTTGGTGCAAATCAATCTGTTTGCGTATTTTGTAAAGAGCATGTATTGCTTTTTCGCTCAGTCGTTGGCTGGCAATATCAAATTTTGTGGTGGGCGTTAATTTTAAACCTAGGTACGTATATTCATTAGTCATGGAGATTGGATTTTTTCCAATGTTAAATTGAATGTTTTTTTGTTTAGATTTATGTTTTTGCAGAATCATGACTTTCGTTTTTTTGAGGTTGACTTCCAATAGCCATTTTTCGCTCCAGTTGTGAAGCGTATCTAGGCAGTTTTGGAGACCGGTTTTTGATCGTGACAATATTACTAAATCATCAACATAGAGAAGGCTGCTTATTGTATTCTAGTAGTTTTAAGAAAAGGCCATCATGCCAGATAGAATCAAACGCTTTTTTGAAGTCCACGAAGCAAGCATATATTTTTTCATTACTGTGTTGTTTTACGTATTTGTCGTGAATCGTATAGCCCTACTGTTTTTGCTGTTTTTTGCCCCTTTTTCAAAATTGAAATAAGTCGCTAAAAATGGACGAAAAGTAAAGGCTATAGCCTTACTTTTTTGCTGTTCTTACTTTTTCGCTATTTTTTGTCCATTTATGAAAGTCGCTAAAAATGGACGAAAAGTAAGGGCTATATAGCCCTACTTTTTTGTTGTTTTTTGCCCCTTTTTCAAAAATGAAATAAGTCGCTAATAATGGACGAAAAGTAAAGGCTATAGTCCTACTTTTTTGCTGTTTTTTTCTCCTTTTTCAAAAATGAAATAAGTCGCTAAACATGGACGAAAAGTAAACCTTTTTCAAAAATGAAATAAGTCGCTAAAAATGGACGAAAAGTAAAGGATATATAGCCTTACTTTTTTGCTCTTTTTGCCCCTTTTTCAAAGTGAAATAAGTCGCTAAAACTGGACGAAAAGTAACGGCTATAGCCTTACTTTTTCGCTATTTTTTGCCCATTTATGAAAGTCGCTAAAAATGGACGAAAAGTAAAGTTTCAAAAATGAAATAAGTCGTTAGAAATGGACGAAAAGTAAAGGCCATAGCCTTACTTTTTCGCTATTTTTTGTCCATTTATGAAATTCGCTAAAAATGGACGAAAAGTGAAGGCTATTATAGCCTTACTTTTTTGCTGTTTTTTGCCCATTTATGAAAAAAGTCGCTAAAAATGGACGAAAAGTAAAGGCTATAGCCTTACTTTTTGCTGTTTTTTGCCCATTTATGAAAGTCGCAAAAAATGGACGAAAAGTAAAGGATATATAGCCTTACTTTTTTGCTCTTTTTTGCCCCTTTTTCAAAGGGAAATAAGTCGCTAAAACTGGACGAAAATTTTCCGGGGTGGGCAAAAAAATCTGAAATTTTTTATGGGTCCGGCCGAGGTGGGCAAAAAAATCTGAAATTTGTGATTGGTCCGGGGTGGGCAAAAAAATTTGAGGGTACAGTTGCTAATGGGGTTAAAGCATAGATATCTTATATACACTAGATCATAGACGGATTTTCATATTTATTACTGGGGTGGTGCCAGAAATTTTAGGGGGGTGAGCCGTGAGCAGGTGATTGAAGCAACACAAAGTGTCACCAAACCCCAGTAAGGTCTATATTCTAGGGGTGGAGCACTAGAGCCGCGAGGGGGAGTCTAGAGAGCAGAAAACAAAGTACCCCAGCAAAAATTTGGAAAAAAAATCATGATTTCTAGCTTCGAAAAAACGTTTTTTGAAGTTGTCGATTTGTCAGACTTGAGAGAGTTAAAGATAAATGAACCTGTAAAAGTGTAAACCCAATAGGCCAATACACAATATGCTTCGATGTAAATAATATTTGGGGCGTGAAGATTAAATCTAGGCAAGTCTATTTCCTAAAAGAATTAAAAACTAAAAATAGTGTTCGTAAAAATTCCAAACGTTCCTTGCGTACAAGCTATTCACATGACAAGGCACTGCAAACTCTATTCAGGGAAGATAAAAGAGAACAAAACTTTACAATTGCTCCAATAAACCAGTGAATGCAAGCGAGGAGCGATTAGTTTCAGAGTGTTGCACTGTCTTTTTCTGTTCGAATGTACTCCTACGTTTATTTTGTATCATCAACACTGCATGTTGGAGTGGACTATTTAATTATTTATTATGCCGAATATTGGGGGGGTTGAACATTTTTTTTGGAGGGGTGGACATTTTGTTTGGGGGGGTTATAGCTAATATTGGGGGGGGGGTAGCACCCCCCTGCACCCCCCAGAAAATCCGTCTATGCACTAGATAGTGCGCCATCTAATTATTTTGCAATTCAAAAATTGAAGCTGTGATTGCAGTCTCAGGTCGTTCCCATGAAATGAGAAGATTCGTATGTTTTCTATTTCTTAAACAGGGAACGTAAACATTAAGTTAACCCTATTCCAAATACGTTTTTAAAGTATTCAAATAATGAAAGTTATTGTTGTTTTTAAGCGTTTATTAGCAAGTGGGAACGACAAACATGGCCACCATTTATTCAAATGGGGGTAACCGCTGGAATATTCTTGGCTTCAATATTTTTACTAAAAGAGATGCGCTATCTAGTGTATATAAGATATCTATGGGTTAAAGCCCCCAGGAAATTTTGAGATTTTTGGTCCAAAATCCTTGTGTAAGAGAATAATTTCATTCAGCATTGCTTTTTTATACAGAAAACAATAAATTAAAAAGTGCTTTATGCCGTTTCAACTTGGTATATCGTTCGGGACCGAAAATCATTCCTCTCATCAAAACAGGGATTTTCAACTGAAAAAATATTCTTGCAAAAATTTTTAAATTTTCCTGGAATGCCAGTCAAAAACCTTTTTATTCATCAAAACAATGATTTTCAACTGATAAAATTTTTTTAAAAACTTGAAGATTTTTCTTAAATGCAACAGGTCCCCCTTTGGTTTTTGACAATGTTTGACAGGCACTTGCATGATTATATGTACCTTCATTTTGATGAGGATCACTTCGGTTGACCTGATCGTTGACCAAATAAGTACATGGAGAAAATAAAACACAAAAAACAGACCTGATATAAAAACAAGCACCAGGTTTTCCACCAATCTCGTTGTTTCTAAGAATTCCCAACAATGATGGCCAGCTCAGTGATGATTCTGGAAGGTTCACCTATCAAATTTAAATACATTTCAAATTGGGGAGAGTAAAAGCCACATAAAATAAGGGAAACGACAAAACGCGGACCCCAGGTCCATGGACTACCTTTGTGGACCTGGTCCATGGACTACACTCGTGGACCACAGACCACTCCCGTGGACCACTCTCGTGGACCACTTGCGAAATTTCGCCTACCGAACAATAGACCAAGCACTATTATTCCGAGTTTAGGGAGCCGAGATTGGCGGGAACTATTTCATTATTCATTTCCATTATTTATTTCACAATCATTCAGTTTTTGTTGATGAACAGTGAATACTAAGTCTGTAAAAATGCTGAAAAAATGTAGTCAGGGTTCCATTAAAAAATATAGGAATACTGTGGAGAATCTGGAAGGGAGGGGGGGGGGTGTGGTCAAAGGATTTTACTGAATTATTCGAATTTTACTGTTAAAAAATCACTTGAACTGTAAAGTCGTAAGTTGCAATGACTTTCAATGCCTGAAGGTCCTCTCCCAAAAATATTAATTTTTGAAGCTGATTACTGCTTTTCTTGCATTTCTGTAGCGATCGAGAAAAAAACTACCAATTTTAAGTGCATTAAAGTCGTAATTGCACACTTATATTTTAGAACGGTCATGTAGTGAATGGATTTAGAACTTCACATTTTGTGTAAAGTTTCCACAATGATAATAATGACTGAACTCGACTCGAGCACATTTTTGCATGCACAGTCAAGAATTCAATCCCCAAAAATCTGGTGTCTCGCAAGTGGTCCATGAGAGTGGTCCACGAGAGTGGTCCACGAAGGTAGTCCACGGACCAGGTCCACGAAGGTAGTCCATGGACCTGGGGTCCGCGTTTTGTCGTTTCCCATAAAATAAATTCCTTGATTCTCATCACAACACTTTGAAAATGCCCATTAGAGGTGGGAGGTTTATCTTTTATATTTATATAATTTATATATCAATGAATAAAAATTAAAGTAATTACACATTTCTGTCATCCCCAGCAAACGTATCTCCACGAACAATTAATGACTGAACCCTTGAACTGAATACGAAGTTCCTTTAAAATGCAATGAAATTTCTTTCAAGATTCTGTTTCTTTGAAATTAGCTTTCTAAAATGGCACTAAAAGCCCAATATAAAATATAAAAAACTTAACTGTCTTGAAATATTTTGTCCGGTGGCACATTTATAATTATTCTATTACACATAGGCGTACCGGTAGCCCCCCAGTTTTTTGGGCAGTTGGGCAATCAACAGTCGGGCAATTTTGGTTTGCAATTAAAAAAAATGGGACAAATTCTGTCAATTTTGTCTAAAATTAAGTAAATTTTTTGGAAAATTTGTGTTATGTTCAAAAATTTTCACAAGGGTCTTAAAATACAGTCCGGCGGTGATGAGAATTAAGGAATTAACTTTATGTGGCCTAATATACATTTGGCTTTAATTAAGCCCTTTCCCTATCATACTAGGCACTTTCGCTGTTTTAGTTAGTATTTTTGTTTCATTGTATGTTTAAAAGTTAAAAGTACCGTGAGGATGAGACAAACGATAAAACACAAAATTTTAGTCCTTTTTTTAGATTTAATTGTTATTGTGTTGATTCAACATGGAAGAGAAAATGAATAAATGATTGTTGCAAAACGCAAAATACAGTAATGCCCATGTCATCACTATTTTGTGAAACGTAAAGTTATCATAATTAAAAATAAACGTTCTCTGACTAAAATTTTATTTAAAACGAGCTTTCGACTACCTCTTTTTTATTAACTAGCACAGCATATTGTTTTGGAAGTGACTTAGAATTATTGTCAGAATTTGTTATTATAGCAGTATGCCAAGATTCTAATGTCTTACAACGTTGGTTGCAAAACTCGGAAGCAACTTTTTAGCGGCGTGGGGCAGCGGTGTATGCAGGGTCTAACCTTTGGGGGAGGGCCAAATTTTTTTACTGGAGGTAGGATTCTAGATAGGGAAGACTACAACTTTTATTGGTAAACAGAAGAGATGGGAATCATTATTCACACATTATTCTGCGCGGATTTCAGCTTTTCACAAGGGCAGTCCCTGTGCCCATTGGGGGAGGGGGGGGGGGCACTAGCTTGTGGTAGTAATAACAGATATATTTAACACACCTCATCTGAAACATTGATCCAGCCATAGCCAAATGAAGGTAACCCACCATGAGGTATCACAGCAATGATATTGTAGACAGCACGAGACACATACAGCAAACCAATGATGATGCAAACTATTGATGCTTGGCATAAAGTTGTCCCCTGAAAAATACACACAATAGAATAAGAGAAGAGCAGAGGAATAAGAGAAGCAGAGATTCTCACACTGCCGAGGGATGCTGCACATGCAAGCCTGACCATTAAAGAACAAAAATATCTTGTACTAATTTTAATACTAGAACTCATCAGTGACTATAACCTGTTTGTTTCAAAGTTGATGTAATATTTAACTAATGTTTGTGCCATCTGTGCTGCCGTATTTTACCTAGAATATCACTCTCGTGCATGTGCATTTATAAAAAAAATAGCAAAAAAAAGTAAACCCAACCTACGTGAATAAAAACCGAGACGAAGTCGAGGTTTTTATTCACGATAATCACCGAGCCTGAGGTATTATTATTCTATGTTAAGAAGCCCTCCCCCTTATCAGCAGCTTTGGGCCAAATACTCACCTGTGAAAAATACAATGCCAACAAACTTAGCGTGAAATACTGTAGAACAATGGGGAAAGAATATAGCAACCATTTCCAACCAAGATTTAACTTATTGGCCATGCAGCTATCGTTGAAATAAAATGAAAATAATGTTGTCCTTAGGGCAGCCCATAACAGACATAAATACAAAAATACACTCTGGTATGATAGTCTTTTGTGTTTATACACCAAGATAAGTACTAATTGTATCCAGATCAATAAAAACAACAAAGCGTAGAGTGTCGTGAACACAATTGTCAATGATAATTGAACCCCAAATGGCAACGCTTCACCCAAAGTGGAGAACGATAGAGTTGTTTTTGTTGGATGTTGTGGGGTGCCAGTGTTATCGTGTTGTAACAAATCACGGTGAAAATCCATAGCTGGAGTCTTGATTTATCCTTTCCAATCGATAAACATTGCAAGGAAACTTTTCCAGACGACACAAATACTAAAAAACTTTCCAAAAAACACAAAACCCTTTCTTTCCAAATATTTTGACATGTCAAAATAAAATCACATAGCTGAAAATGAGTTTTTCGGTACCAGTTCCCAGACGTTTTACTTAGTGTTTGCTCGGCTTTCTTATTTTGGGATATGGTGTTTTAGACTTAAAAGTCACGAGACTTTTAGGATTCCGGAAATACGAAATGGTATTGTTTATTCATTGGCTATGAAATATTACCAGGATATTTTTCTAAGAACTTGGAATGCATGTCTGTGCATGAATCATTATGGAAGCAATATTGTCTCAATGGTACTGGGAAAAGTAAGGGGAGAAAAGAGGAGAGGAATTTACTGTAATTTTCTGGTTTCATAATTTTATGCAAGAATTTTTTTGCAGAATTTTAAAGGAATTTTTTTTGCTTTGCTCTTTGCACGAAGTTTGTCATTCTTTTTTCTTGCGCAAAATTTTTTCCTCCAGTCCCCCCTCTATTACTTTTCTAATGCACCTATCAATGTTAAGCCCCAGCAGAGTGGGGGGTTGGGCATATGTGGGGCATTTGATTTTTTTTTATCAAATTTCCAATCAAATGCCCCACTGTTGGGCAATAAACATTGGTCAAATACCCCACCATTTTGGAATAAATACTGTATTATTAATAAAAGTCATTTGGTTAAAATTGCCCTAACTCGGTCCCGAAGTGCTAATCAAATTCCCGAGGGTGGGGATGCAATTGATGTCATTGATGATCAAGTACCCCACATATATATTAACATCGATAGGTGCATAATGGTTGTCAAAACTACAAAATAAAATATACCCAGAATTATCACTGGAGGAAATTTTAACTAACTCTAAAATATAATATATTCAGGGGGGGCTTATATTCAGAATAGCCTGAGTGTTAATGAATATGGGGCTTATACCCAACATTTCATATATCCTAGCTGAATCACTCCATCACGGTTAACGATTCCATACTTCATAGAATTGACTCCTCAAATACTTAGGAGTTACAATCCAACAAAACTTAACCTGAACAGAACATATCGACAACATTAGAGTCAGAACATATTGACAACATCAGCAAGAAGTTTAATCAACGCCTTGGTCTTATTCGCCGCATAAAATTTTTACTCCCTATACAAGCCAGACTGAAACAGGCACCTCTGGTCAGCAGCGACCAGGAAACGCTGATACATCCTACACCTCTGCAGGTTTGCAAAAACTGAAAGCAGAGCAAGTAAGCAGCCCATAAAAGTCAACATAAGCGGGCAACACGCCCAGCAACCCAATGAGCTACACTTGTGAGCTCCCCGGCTTAAATAAACTCGGTAAGCCTGCAATAACTAATATGAATATATAATTCATATGCATGCATAAACAACACGCACACATTCGTTCTCGAAGTTAATTATTTTTATTGCATAAAATCATTTAAATAAGCATAGTATGTCCCACATGCACCGCACCGGGCAACTGTAACGTACTTATATACCGAATCGTTACCTTTATTTGTGTGTGGTAGTTACCGATCATAGGATCTTGCGAAAAGGGTGCCAGGCATAATGGTCTGGGGGCCGCCGGCACTCTCCCCCATCGTTCGTTCGATACCAGTTGGTAACTGAACCACTGCGGCCGCTGAACTTGGGGGGCATGTGGTCCCCCAATTCTTTTAAGCTTTTTCTAAAGTGCCCCATTCAAAGAATAAAAAAAATATTTCTTGAATGAACGCCCTCTTTTGTGGAAAGAAAGTGCCCTTTTTGCAGTAGTAAAGACTCTGTAAAAAAGGCCATTTCCGACGTTATAGAGACTCGCCTCTTACGATATTAAACGTTGCGTTTAGCCAAAATCTAGCCTAAACGCTAACATACGGCGTTCTAGCGGCTAGCACGAGACGGATTTGACCGAGTTAGCAGAGTCGGGAAGTATGGACTGATGGAGTACTTTTGTTTTTAAAAAATTTATTTGTAATTTACCGATCTTCTGTTCTAATTTACCGATCAATTGAATTGCGACTAAAAAAGTTAGCAGTGTGTTTTGTGCTTTTATCTAACTTATAAAAATCTAAAAATGTACCATTACTACTTGTTTATGTCATAATAGTCTTATCAAATTTAAAAACACGATTAAAAACCTAAATTAAACTTTTTTTTAAGTTCTATTCATAAAGTTTCACGCCAGGACACCAGCTATTTTACCATTTTGTAGGTACCTGTCTACTTTCTGGTCCGCCTTCATTTTAACCAATCAGATCACGATCCACAAAAGCTCGTAATCTGATTGGCTAAATGAAGTGATCCGTTAATCCCACCAAGCTTGAAAGAGTGGTACAGCGAAAGTAACTGACTAAACTGAGCCATCGGGCAAAATAAAATTAACTGCAACGGCAAAATAGATTGTATTCTTCATTGTAAGCTGCTGTTGATAGAATGACATTACTCCATATTTTAGAACCTCAAACATCAAAAACAAAGAAGAGAGAAGTTTTCACAAGGACCAAGTCCAGAGACTTTAGCAGTTGCCTCCATGAAGAATCGACAACACTCCTGTAGAAATATAATAATGCTGTCTATTACATGCTGAATCAAAATTCAGATGAGAAAGGAAATATCTATTCTCAAATTTCCCTTGTGGAAATTTAAATTTTGAAAAGTGGAAACACAGCTGGCAACAACAAAATGGCAGCATTCCATTGAACTTAAACTTTAACACACTGTGTGCAGTGTGACCAGACGTGGTAATTTCATTACTACCGTGGTAATTTTTCGTCATTTTTGGACAATTGTGGTAATTGGAAATTTGTGGTAATTACTACGGTAATTTCAGAACTACCGTGGTAATTTTTCGTCAATTTCGGCCGATTGTGGTAATTTGAAATTTCCTGACCTTAAATGTACAGATTTTGGTGAAAACCCCCTAAATTTTACAGATTTTTGTGAAAAAAAAACTGGTTTTGGAAAAAAACGGTTTTGTTTGATGTTGTTTTACTTATTATTTTTCGGGAAAAAAATTTTTGACCCTAATTTACGAGGAAGTTGTCGGGAAAAATTTTTGTCCGGAATATATGTTAATTGTGATATTTAGTACCAGATAGGGCTTTTGAAATTTGTACAACGATGAAGCGGGTGAAATTTAAATGCAGCGACGTAATTATCAAACAATGAATTGTTGACTCAAAAGTATCAACATTACAATTATCAGCATTAAAGATACACTGGAAATGTTCCTGGCCTTATCCGAAAATATTCTGTATTTATTGAACAAAGTTGCAATGCATTAGAATTGTTATTTCAAATCGACTTGTTGAATTTATTTTTATTATTATACATTGTAGTTGGTAAAAGCAATTTGATTGGCTAAGAGCTAACAGTTAAATCGCGCAATCACGCAACCTACACAAAATTCAGTTATCTGCTGACGCTGAG